CCCCCCCCCCCCCCCCCCCCCCCCCCCCCCCCCCCCCCCCCCCCCCCGCAGGGTCGCTCTGACCTGTATGAGTGCCTGTGTGTCTCATGCGGAACAAGACGGGATGAGCAAAAGCACAATCTTCCCGCAGGGATCAATCAGTTGCCACTATTCTGTCAGGATGCCGCTCTAGCCGTGTTCACCCACTCTTACATATTTATCAGAAATGAATAAGAAATAAGGATTCTTTATCGGCGAACAGCCTATAAAGGTGTGCCTCCCCTCTTCATCTTAAATGATATGAGGGTGTTTTTACACTGGACAGCATCCGTCGTTGTGCATTGTTAGGAAATCCGTTCTAGCTGTGATGCTAACTCATATAATGGAGAGTTGGCATAATATATCTAATATGTACTACACACACACACACACTATATATATATATATATATATATATATATATATATATATATACATATACTGTATATTTAATATACACCACAGGTTTTTATCACTTTTCCTTTTATTTCATAAACTGCTGATTTTTCATTCTTGTCCAGCGTTGGAAATTTGAGTGGAATATAAATGAAAATATAAGTCAAATCAGAAGCGTTTTCCTTTATAACATGGAAAGATTATTTAACAGCGCGTGTCTGATATCCTGTTAACTGCTTGTGCGGTGATGGGAAATAGTCAAATTCTGGGCTGTCATTTAACATTAAATGCACTAGTTAACCCGCGAAACACAGCAGCATGTAATGTCCTCAGATTTTCTCTGCTGTTATAACTGCTAGAGCAGGTTACTTTGATGAATCAAAAATATGACATTTTCTTGCTCATAAAGGCACTGAAATGGTGAACATATTGTAAAATTATTTGTTATCAAAGAATATTGAGTGTATTTTTAGTAAATGCTAAGTGAGTAATATGCAAATGTAGAAAATCTCAGTGTGTGTAAAACTGACTGGTAGTGTATATGCAATATATACATTATATATACAATATATATTATGGAGAGTCGGCTCATAATGGTATTGCAAGTTAAAATTTGCTAAAATATAGCTGAGTGTATATGCTCGTTTTTATGGAATTCGTAGAGGATTAATAAAGCTCTTGCAGGAAAATCCACAAAATAAATAAATGCTGAGAGACTGTCAAAGGTAAAGTTATAATCTGCCAAGATATTAATCATACCTCGCTGCCCATTTATATCATACAGGAGTGATTATTTACGTTTAACCTCAGCAAAAGAAGCATTTAAAGGATAATGATCTATTTGTTCAACTATGTAACAGAGGTAGCTAGTGCATTAAAGATGTTTAGCATAACGCCAAGCATACTAATTACATGGAGCATTGTATCTCAACATCCTTTCAAGATCAAGTACTTCATGGGCCAACAATGTCCAGCTCTGTGCTGACTGTTATGCTTTGAGGTGCATTGATCATTTCCCTGGAGTGTGGATCACACGTGCATATAAATGAGCTTGAGAAGAACATTCAAATTGTATTAGCATAGAAGTGCAGAGGAACCGGGCTATGCTTAATTCATCCGTAATCACTATCAGTGTAAGGGCTGAGACAGAAACGAAGCCAGATCAGCATAGGAAAATTATGAAACCAACGAGTGCTGAAAGAAGATGTGAACTTTGGCGTTTTAGCATAAGCATATTAGCTCATCACCAATGGAAGATGTGGACATTTGTGCTATTGTACAAATTTACCAGCACTACTCCTGCAGCTCTTGCGTAAAATTACGTGACTTATAAATGGCAGTTCAAGCGCTGGTGTGTGGTCTAAAATGACTTCCTCATTTTTCAAACATTTGAAAATATGTGTCTTTCCCTCACGTCGCTGTTAAAAGGGAATTTCACAATTGTCACGTAGGTCCCTGGTGCCTAGTGGATGGGTATTCCAGTAGAGAGACAGGCACTTAGTATATTCATAAATCACGTAAGAATTGTCAGTCACCCTCTTGGATGACACATTGATGGTTTTCAGAGGGAATGCTGAATGTGACAGTGGAAAAGTGGAAACCAAAGTATATTTAATGTTAATACGCCGTGTATTGCTCTCCTCTTGATATATTTTGTTTCAAGGTCCAGGTCTTGAGAAACGCTGGGGAGGAAGTGACGTTGACCGTCTCCTTCTTGAAAAAGACGCCGGCCTTCCTGAAACTGCCGCTCTGTGAAGATTGCACATGTATGTTCTTGGGCAATGCCTGTGCTCGTCAGCTAACGCTAGCAGCGGTTAGCATGCGGTTACAAGGGCGTAGAGAATGAGACAGCGTACACTTCGGGAAACATATAAGGATCGCAGTCCACGGCCATGCTAACTGAATTTTTATCGGACATAGCAGCAGCGGTATTTGTTGTGAAACGAAAATTTCTGATTGCTTCTGTGACCATTAATGAAATGGACAGAATTTACTGTATTGAAATATGCATCCGAAGTTATTATGTTTGGGAATTTAGTCTACCTATACTGAATTACTTGTCTTGTTGCTTGCAAACCACGAAAAATGTTAAGCATGCGAAAAGCAGGTATAAAAGAGAAATATGCTGAGGATACTCAATACTAAACAAAAGTCAAGTATAATTTCATACTGAACCACTGGGGGAGGGGGGTGGCAATTGTAATGGCATTTATTGAATGAAGATTACAGATCAGACGGTTATTTGACTGTGACTGTGACTGTGACTGTTCTTGCCTCCTGCAGGTTTACCCAGTGACCAGAGCAGTGGGACGTCCTCGCCCCTATGTGACAGCGGCTTGCACTTAAACTATCATCCCAACAACACGGTACTTTTTAATGCGTCACACATTTACAGTATAACCAGCCTATGAGTTAATATCGGTTATTAATTTGTTAAGCGTTTTTGAATATGGGAGGTATGATCTGTAGCAGCACCGCAAATTTCCAGGAACAGCTCTCTGCATTTCAACCATTTCACTGCAAAAAACAAAAACAAACAAAAGAAAAGACACATGCATGTCATTTTGGAGAATAGTGTGATAGGTCAGTGAGGAACTTCCATAATCTGGGAAATACAGTACCTGTATATCAGCATGTCCAAGGTAATGTAAGCACTTAAAATTAACTGACCGATATATCAAAATTATTAATTGGTACAATGATATTATATGATATGCAGTGGGCCTTAGGAAAAGAGAGAAGTAAATAAGTACATAAGCGGTATGTGTGTCTGGGAATGAATTGAAAGTCTGTCTGTCCGTCTCGGAGTTGGAATCCGGCAGAAAACGAAGGACAAACAAGAAAGAAGAACTGAAGAAAAGACAAGGATGATTCAATTCCCATTCCATATGGTGTTGATTTTAACGCCTTTTCACTGCCATTTACCTGATGAAAGTCTTCTCTAATAACCTAAATTGTGCATCTGTTATGATTATACAATGTCCAACAGGTGCAGAGGGGAGCTCATCATGTCCACAATGTGCAGCGAAACTCCTCTTCTAACAGCCGCTAAAATAAGATGCATGTAGTTCTATAAAACTGGGCCAATAAACTGCTGCAGTTTTACATTATTAGCATGATACTGCATAGAATATGTAAGATGAAGTCGAGGTAAATTACAGTAGCTTGTTAAACATCTGATATGGTCAAGAAAATATTCAGAGCATGAGCATTTGCTCTGATTGTACTTTAAACTTGAAAAATATTTATTTATGTATTAATATGTGTATATTTCTACCAGAACAGCATTGGATATTTAGAGAAATCGTTTGACAATTATCGCGTGAACAGACAAAAAAAAAGAAAACGCTTTGTTATGGTGAAAATGCAGCCAGAGGTTCCAGTGCTTTACCGTTCATTGTCTTGAGGCAGAGACCTTTCCCTTTCCTGCCATGTCCGGTCAATGTTAGCCCTGATCCGTGCGCTGAACTCTGAGTAAGCCCCCCCCCCCGCCCCCCTCCCCAGGAGCCTGACTCACTGTGATAATGGTAGCAGAGCGGTGGGATTTGGGCAGCTTCTACTGCTGCATTGTCCGTCCTTTTTGACATGACGTAAGCCTGCTGAAGCTGAAGCATTTTCTTTGCCCACTTCAGAGCCAGTCATCTCTGACCAATGTGTTACTGTACAACACAATGTGGAGGCAGAAAGATGGACAGGCCGACAGACATAGATAGATAGATAGATAGATAGATAGATAGATAGATAGATGGATGGATGGATGGATGGATGGATGGATGGATGGATGGATGGATGGATGGATGGGCGGACAGGTGGACAAATGGACAGACAGATGGACAGACAGACAGATAGATAGATGGACAGATGGATGGATGGATGGTCAGATGGATGGATGGTCAGATGGACAGACAGACAGATAGATAGATGGACAGATGGATGGATGGATGGATGGTCAGATGGACAGACAGACAGATAGATAGATGGACAGATGGATGGATGGATGGATGGTCAGATGGATGAACGGATAAATGGATGGATCACTGGATGTTTTTTTAATCCAGAAGGAAATTGCTGATTTACAGTAGCATAGCAAACACATTCAGGTACATAATAAATGACAATAAGCAGTAGCAGTGCAAAGAATGTCAGAGGAAGTTTATGAAGGACCCCACAACGTTGTGTTGCATTAAATTCAATGACAATAAAAAGTGAAGGTTGTATCACAGGTAAGATTCAGAATGTAGAATTAACTCAGCACTAGGACTAAGAGTTATGTCATTACATTCATAATTAGCACGTATTAAGCGTTTTTGAAGTTGATATTCTAGGTGAGGGTCACAGAGACGCCTAAATGATCAAATCTGAAGGGATAGACATGAGTATTAAAGGGCTGACACTCGCCCTACCTTCCAGGACACGTTGTCCTGCTCGTCTTGGCCGACGTCCCCAGGGCTGCGGTGGGAGAAGCGGTGGGTGGATCTGCGGCTCATCCCTCTGCTGCACTCACGCCTGTCCCAGTACGTCCCGGGCTCTGACGTCTGCAGGTGAGCGACCAAGGGCTTTGGGATCGTCAGATGAAAATGAGTTGCCTGTGCTTTCAGCTAACAGTGTGAGATAGAGGTGGGATTGGTCAATAGCTAAATGTCAGGGTTCACCGATAGAAATGGGACTCGGATCTATTAAGTTTCATTGGCACGGTAGTCACAGAATTCTCACAGAGACTCTAAAAATGTACAAATACAATTCTAATTGTAATATGAATAGTGTCAGCAGCTGTTTATTTCCCTGTCACAGTGAACCATCTGCCAATTCGTCTGGAGAGATTTTAGCCAGTCTGACAAAGCATTTTGAAAGGTTTAAAAAGTCTGTTAAACAACACTTGCAATAATTGTGAAGCTTCAGATTGTGAGGTAAAATATAAAGAAGAAAACATAAATAGGGGGAAAAGAATTGCAACCTGTTTGCATATCACATATATTGATTCTTGTCAGGTAAATTCTTTTAATTCTCTTTGAAATTCAGCAGTGTTTTGGGGAGTTATACATATAAAGAAATTAATAGATACTTGAAGTGTAAACAGGTTTACTGCTAAGACCACTAGTAAGACAATTTATTTTATTTTATTGATTTATTTTTTTATTCCAACTATATTCTTCAGCATCATGATTTGAGTTGTTTTTCTGTTTTTTTTTGCTCTAGAATCACTTTTATCAGATGTCTGGTTGTCTTCTGCAGTCCAAAGACATTTTTGTTGCGTTTTTGTTGCTCTTGCTAAATTGCTCACAGCGTGTCTACCCATGGCCTCTCCTCTGCTCTGCTCTGTGTGAGATAAGCTCCACCCACAAAACAAATAAGTCATAGGAAGATGGGCGGCTTCCTCTTTAAATTTCGTGAGATTTGAATGGGTTTATTGCACTAAAACAGTAAATGGTTACCTTGCTTCAGATGGTAACAACAGAATTGACCGAATCATAATCGGTGTCAGAAATCAATGCAAAGGGCTGACGATTAACTACCAGAGTACAATGAGAGGCCAGTTTACAATAAAATCCGTGAAGCAATGTTTTATACATTAAGCAGTATTCTATCCATGTTCCATAATTGCTTATCCAGTTTATGGCAGTGGTGACCTTGGAGGGTATCCAAGGAAATACAGGGGCAGGGTAGGAAACCCCGTAGACAAGACCATGTCTATCAATGGGTGAATGCAGAGGCGCACCCTATGGGCAATTTATAAATGCTGGTTCACCTAGCGGCCAAAACAAGTACAGTATGTGGCCCGGCAGGTGCAGGCCCTGTGCTTATGAGCCTGAGGTTGCTGGTTCAAATCCCAGGTTTGGTGGAGCGATTTCACTGTTGGGCTCCTGAGCGAGGCCATTAACCCCCAAATGCTCTCCCAATTTTCTCAAAACAAAAGTATGTATCTTTGGATAAAAGTACGTGATAACTAAATATGAACATGCTTAATTAGTTTTAGAGAATTTTTGAGTTCTCTGACCAAAGACTGACACGGTAATCTCACAAACATAAAAAAATACTATAGCAATCCATCCACTCCCAAGGACTCGGAAAGACCCAGAATATGTCTGTTACATGCCAGACTGCAGTACACTTTCGTTAAACTGTAAATACCAGCTTATCACTGTTTACCAAACGAGGGATGCACATAACACGCTGCACTCTGCCATTTCAAAGATATTGATAAAGATATTGGACACAACATGGCCGTCTTTTGGAATTTAATTTTGCCCTCAGCATCTATCTATTAAAACCAAAATGAAACCCATTTAGTACATTATTCTGGACGTGTGGGCATAAATTCTAAATGCATTTACGCTTCTCAGACCAAAACAGTTACCATTTTATTAGAAATGGTCATCTATTGTAACGAGTAGCAGAATTTATTAAAACACAAATCGGAATGTGGCTCTCGAAAACGCCGAGTGTCGTAAGAGATCAGCTTTTTGCAGCGCTTCATTCATTCGATGTGGATTCGGTGTATTTTAATGGCTATTGCATTCCTTCCTGAACCTGCCTCTAGACTTTCTTTACCCGCAGTACTGCATTGTCCTCTTCCCTTAGAAAAAACGCCTTTCAAGTCATCGCAGTGGACGGGGTCTGCAGTGGGGTGATCCAGTTGCCGTCCGCTGACGACTGTTTAGACTGGCTTCAAGCAATAGCAGCTAATATATCTGCTCTCACAAAGCACAATGTATGTATGAAAACCACGATCCGCTTCTCCCCATCTGTAAGCCTCCTTACATAATGTGCTTATAATCTGTGCTTCAAATTGTGCCATTTAATCCAGATGCGAGTAGCCAGGAAGTCCTGCATATATTTTCTGAGAGTAATATTAAAACCTGCATTATAAACAAGGACAGAGAAAGTGTGTCGTGTCATGAATATAAATGTCCTGGAGGAAATGATGTCGTTACCATTGTCTTTTTAAACACGATTTCCTTAATAAATACAAGCTTCCTCATATATACAGACTAAACCACAAGGCAGAGATTGAATTTTATGGCTGAGTTACTTTGATAAATGGGGCTCATATACTACTATTATATCCCAAAAAAAAAGTTACAATATTAAACTACTGCTAGTGAACATTGCAACTGTGATGATGGTATTTGGTGTGAAGTTGTTACAACAAGAAGCTCTAAGCATGGGGCTGGTCCCAGTTATTTAACTGGATGATTTCAACACGATAACAAGCAAACAGAACAAAGCACAATTCATCCTATAAAAGGTTCTGTTATTTACAGGCTATATAATTCACAGGTACAGAGTAGTATCTTTGCTAGTCCATAAGAAACACATTGGTAAATCTTCTTAATTAATTACAAGCTCATATTAATCGATCTTGACAAGCTGGCACTTAACATAAGCTTAATAAAATTGTACCACATAGTAATAAAACTGCAGCGTATATTGTGGCATTGCAGGCTCATATTAATGGATCTTGATATGCTATCTGCAGATACTAAAAATAAATTGTAGCATATAACGGGAATTTGACAAACAGAAAATCATAAGCTTTATACAGTACTGGCAAAAACTCTTAGGCAGTCAAAGAAAACGTTTAAAGCCATTTGCATTTCCTCAGGAAGAGAAAAACAATTTGACACAAGCAAATTAAGAGTGTAACACAATTTAAACAAACAAGAATTTCTTCTATTCTCTAAAGAGTTACTGATACCTTGTTGGATTACTATATGAGCACTGCGCCAGTTCCCAAACTTCATTGTATTTGTCAAATTTTGCAACCAGCTCAATTGATTGATTGATTGATTGATTGATTGAATCCATTTAACTTCAAGTCAAGTCAAGTCAAGTGGGACTATTGTCATGCTCGCCATACACAGGTACACAGTGGAATGAGACGCCGTTCCCCCCGGACCACGGTGCAACATAACACACATAGGGGGGCTGTATCTACACAATTACAGGGGTAAAGTGCAGATTAACACACAGTGAACATAACACGACGGGAGGGCAGAAACACTGTATATACATGAATAGAGTGCAAGTAATACAGCAGTGGGAATGTACAGTAGCAGGTATTGATTAGCATGCAGGTATAGATTAGCTTGCAGGTATTGATTAGCTTGCAGGTATTGATTAGCCAAACATGGTGTGCTAGTGGTTGCGTCAACAAATACATGGGTGTACTGGATGGTTGCGCCAAATTTGAGGTTCCTTTAGGCTAAGTTACCGCACTTAATCATAGCTTCACACCAACATGAAGATCATTTAAGTATCATTTTCTTTCACTGCCTACGACTTCTGTGCCGTACTATAATTCTTGGGGTTCATATTCATTCCAGGGCAAAGGGCACATTTTAAATGATAAGATAAAATATTGTGTATCGTTCTATTGTTGCTGAATAACAAATATGCCTTTTCTGACAGGTGAAGAAAATCAACAGGAATTTCCCTGTAAATCAGCAGGTAAGAAGCAGACTGTAATGAGGCATAAACACAGCGCCACACAAAGCATTCTTTTTGGCCAGCGCTAGTCTTCCGTGGCTTTTACAAATATCTACTGACAATATACGTACATAAATCCATTATCAAAACCTCTGCAGTAAGTTAAATCTGCAAAATTGGATGACGACTGTAATAATTGCCAGCTGCATGCATGTATGACAGTGCTGTAAAATAAATAAACGCAGTTTCCTCTCAGCCTGTTCAGCTGGAACAGCAGGGTAATTGCATTGAATAATGGTAGTTAACTTCTGCCTTGCTAGTCCTTAATATCAGCCCAAAAGCAGCCACATACCTTATCCATTAGCCTGTAATGCACTCGGGAATTAAATCCACCAAACCCAGGAAATCTTAGCTTGCTGCCAGTTTCCCCCCACTAGCATCCAAATAGAAAATGGCAGAAGCAATAAATTTTATTTAAAATAAAGGCACATATTATTCCTGAACAGTGTCGGTTAATCAAAGCTGTGGACATTAGCCAGACCCCGCTAATGGACTGTTGTCCTTTTAATCCTAGCAGTAATTCTGATTTACAGGTTTTACCCACTGGTGCCACAGTGCTAGATTTACTGGGCGTGGCTCTTCCATTACTGACCTTAATTTTTTTGGGCATCCTGTATTATTTAATATGGAAATCATTCATTTGTAACTCTACAACAGCGACCAGCACTCACCCTGCCATTCAGGTATAATCAATATGCTCTCAGTTTAATATGTGGGCAAAACACAAATGAGCTTTGGGTTTTAATTAGCATAAAAGCTCCCCAATTTAAAGTCAAGCACACACACACACACATACACCCGTGTGTAAGTATTTGTGTGTGTGTGTGGCCCAGGTATACATTACATTGTGGGGACCAAATGTCCCTAAAAAACACGTTATTTTGATATTGTGGGGACCAGATCAAAAACATAACTACACCAAAATGAAACCGGCAAGAAATGGCACGTCCTGATTGTCCTGAGTTCGGTGTGTCCCTGGGTCGGCAAGGGAGGGGCTTACGTGTCACTTCTTTCACTGTATGACATCACCACATGGGTCCTTTTTTTCCTGTTTTTCAAACCCAAGGCCTCCAGCCACCCAAGCAGTTGGCCGGGGGCTGTGTGCGGCCCAGCAGGCTGAGGCGTTGGGCTTGGGGTTGGAAAGTCGTCAGTTTGAGGCTAGAACAGCAGAATAACATGTCTGTAGGCCCTTGAGCAAGGCCCTGTGGCTTTTTATTGTCGTCATTATTTATGGAATAATAATAACGACAATAATAATAACAATTATTATTATTATAAAGCTGCACCCTTAAGTTGCTCCGTATACCATGATCCCATGCTTTGTATCTATGACACGTCCCTGAACAAAAGGCATACACAATGAAACAGGTACTTCAGAAATCCGAGCACCGTGCCGCTTAACAGAAAATACTGGTTTTAAGTTGTAGTACAATGCAGGCTGGTATCAGTTGAAACACAAAACACAACCCCCTTCCTTGTTGACGTAGGGGCACGGTGAACACTGGAAAAATCATAACGTGGAATAAGAGGTATACAACCAAAGCACATCATAAACACACAATTTGGTAAATTAATCTGTGGGGACCCCCCCCACATCACCTAATATCTAGAAATGGGAACAAGTCACTCCTTGACAAGTCCAAGTCAAAATAATGCAAGTTTGAGTCAAGTCTCAGGTCCAAGTTCCATCGTATTTGTAGAGTCGAGTCACAAGTCATGTAATTTGTGACTTGAATCTGAGTCAAGCGGCGAGTCATGTGACTCGAGTCCCTGCTTTTAATATGTCAGTATTTGTTCTTAGGAAGCTAATGCTGTCTCTATAGCGACTGCCTGGATTAGCCAGAAGCCTGTTCAGAGAATGCTCCATATGCAAACAAATATATTTTTTGAATAATTGAGTAAAATTAAAACAAAGAAGCTAATCCTTACCATGGTACTGGAACTCAGGGCCTTGCAGACTCAGAGTAAGAACAAGCAGTCTTTCCTGAATGATTCTACAGTTATTGTAAAATCGTTTGGACGAAGAACAAAGTATTTACCCAGGAGTAAAGCGTGACTGAACGTGAGTAGTGGGGCACAATGGCTGTATAAAATGTGCATGTTAACCTACAACCAAGGTGCTGAAGTAGTAGAAAAACATTCTCTGTTGGAATGATGTGGGGTCTGGGATGGTGTGGTGCTTAATACTACTGATTCACACCGCTGGGACCATAGCTCAGCTCCCTACTCAGCTTTTTGTGTGTGATGTTTGTATGTTTTCCCTGAGATATTATGGGGTTTCTAGATACCCTGGTTTCCCCTTCCAGTTTGCTGGAATGGTTTGTGCCCTGTGATGATCTGACAGCCCATACTCAGTTATTCCCTGTCCTACGTCCATAGGTTCTAAGACAGGCTCTGGACCCTAATGATCTTGCATTGGGCAAGTTGGAAGTCATAATATCATCAGATCTTCAGTGATCATGTGCCTCCCTCAGGCCAAAAATGTACAACTAATAAGCACCTCAACAAAACATTACAGTTTTAAAATCCAAGTTCCACAGACTTTTACAACAAAGACACATATTTGATCAACAAAAAGAGATAGTTGTATAGTTGTATTTTTTTAAGACACTGCCCTTTTCATTTAACCAGATTTATATTTTGTTATAATTTAAAGATCAGAGCAGATCGTATCATCTTCGGTTAAATTGTGGTTTCAAGAAATTTCTACAGGATTCACAACATTTTCCGCACAACCTTTAGTAAATAATGTGAATACTGTCATTATCTATAAAAAAAAAAAACAAAAACTTGGAATTGTCTATGTTGATGGGAAGCTTTTATGTATGATTAATGAAGATCATTAAAAACCCGGACATGAAATAAAACATTCATTATGTATGCACTTCTTCTTGGGAGCGCACATCAAAATAATCAACTTGTATGGGAAGTGACTGTATGTCACAGATAATACACTCAATGATTTTATCAAAACTCCTCTGTAGTAAACTGTCGGATGTTGCAGCTGATGCAATCACCCTGACTTCTTGGTTAAATAAGAGTTCTCAAGTTGTTCTGACCTTCCTGGGCCTTGTGCTGAACATCTTAAAAACCATTGTCACGGTTTATGAAATATAAGGCTTTATATATTCAAGTGACAACTCCTAGCAATTAACTTCCGCTTGCATAAATAAAGTGATGCTAGACATGTTGTGATTCTCTCTCATTGCTGAGTTTGAATGCAGCGTTTATCATTTTAAGCCATTTGTTTAATTCATCATTAATCAAAAGATTAAAAAAAAAGCATTAAAAAATCAATTGTGCATGAACAGTGCATGATCTCTCTTATACATCTTACCATATATATTGAAGTGTGCCTGTTTCTCAAGTCTGTCTTGCCATCTTTCAGCCATGTAAGATGAGATGTGTTGTGCAGTAATGCGCGGACTTGAACGTCCATCAGTTCCAGAAAATTATCGTAGGCCACATGGGGCTTTAATTTTGGTTTCTCAAAGAAAGTCAGTTTCTATTTTTCAAAGTTGAAAACTCTTTATTGGCTGATATATGATTGACTTTCAACCAAGGCGTGAGTAGACATTAAAAATCCAGATTCCTAAAATTCATAATCACTGTTGCACAATATATCATTTCAGCATCATCCTTGTGATATTATCACATTGCATTTGGTGCTGCTGTCTTGCGACCGAAACACAATTTGCAGTAATACCACCAAGTTATTTCACGCACACTATTGGTAGATAAAGTTCTATTTGGCTATAGTTTATTGGTAGCACTTTACTTGTGGGGACACAAATAATGTAGTTTTGTGCCATTACTTATGTATCAAATAACCACAGTCATGTTTGTGCATCATTAATGAATTGTCATGTCTTTTATCTCAAGCAAGTACTATATTTGTTACTACAGTATATCTAATTCTGTAAACCTTTATGAACTACTGAAGGAACTACTAAGGAACTACTAAGGAACTATTGAAGGAGCAAATGATAAATGACATGTGAAATGCTGTTGTCATGTTTATTCATCATTAATGAATCAGGACACATCTTTCAACTTTAGTAGCAACTATATTTGTTCCTGATTTGTACTCCAGTTGTAACTGAGTCATTACTAAGTATCTGTGCCCCCACAAGTATTACCAGTTTATTTCAGGTAGTTTCATCTCTTCTTTGTGTTTTATAAATATTGCAGTATTACTTGCGGATATTTCACATATCACGATGTGATATTGTGCAGCCCTATTCGTAATGATATTGGTGAAGGTGTGATTACAGGCTGTGCTGGAATCTCTTTCAGACAGAAAACTTGAGCACTGGAATCTGCACACTGTTTTGTGATGGTGTCGAACCAGCATTTCTGAATATCTTTGCCTTTCTGGCTGAAGCCATGAACGCTGCTCTGAGACCTCGCCGAAACTGAGGTCCATCCAACTATCTGTCACTGCCGCTGAGCTGTGCAGTGACCTGAAACTTTGACTTCGGCTCAGCATTCACCTCTTCACTGGGGTATTCACCTTTCTTCTCTCCTTGGGCTGGTAGCATGAGAATGGGAGGCCCGTTCCACCAGAGCTGGCTCTCAATCAGATTAAGTACAGTTTAGCCTCTTGTTAGGAGGTCAGCAGATGGCAAAGTGACAGTGCAACTTGGTCTGACAAGGACTGAATTTCTATTACATTTCTAGTAACAAATGGTTGTCATGGCTGAGCCAAACTGTAAACCCAGTGCAAGCCTATAATATAGCCTGTTGACATTTTAATCTTATCCTCTGTAGCTTCCCTATATAATTCCCCAGTCTTTCACTGGTTAAAACTCTCATCAGCTCTAACCTAGTTATCTCCTTTACTGGAGTGACTGAGGAGTTTAATTCTACCAGGCTCACATTAATGTCTGCCTGCTCTTGTACTACATCATACTATCATCGTGGTCTCATTTACTGACATAACAAAACACAGGAGGTCTGTTCCTGCGACAGTTTGATCTGCATTTTTTATCTGGTGCTATTTATTCCTGGCTGGTGTAACTGCACTCGACTGATCGCCACCAATGTCAGTCTCAGATAAGGTGGAAAATCTTTAATCCCAGCTGCATCCTCCGCTTCAAAAAGGACATTTCAAGCTTATGGTCAAATATACGAACCCCAGCTTCCTGGCCTGCACACCAACAGCACTAATCCGAGCATCTGTGCCCACACTGTGTAGAAGATGGTGCTTTAAAGGATGGTTTCCCAGTCTGGTCTTCCCAGGCAAACAGCATAGTGAGATAAGCAGTAGACATTTTGTAAAGGTTTGGCTGTCGCTTTCTCATCTCCCAATTACTTATTTGTACATCCATTGCAAGATTATGAAACCTTGACACCTTTTGTCGTCACCCCTACAGCTATCCAGAAGTTCTCGTCTCTTACGTCGCTACTGTAGCTCGACTTGGCGGCCATCTTTTTTTTTCTTCATGTTTCACGATCCTTTCAGGCGCCGTCTACGAATAAGTTGCGCTTTCTGCTTCTTCATCTCCGTTTGAAATGTGTACTCCAGGAATCCGCGACCCTCTGGTTCACACTTGTGAGTCTTCTCTTGTGCATCCGAGCGTCTCACTCGGTCAACAACGTGACAGTGCTTTGACTCGTAGTCATGGAGAAATATAGGGCCAAACGTGTGCGGGTCTCTTACCTCAGCACTGATAAGCCCGGGACCTTCGATGGCTCTTTGTAAATGCAGTCCCTCTAGCCTCCATTCCGCACGCATTCTCTGCCTATGCCTTTAGCAGTCTGTTATGGCTGTTTGCTTTCGTTTATCAAATCGCTGCTGGTGTAACAATGCTGGAAACAATGACGTCTGTGTTTTCAGGCGAGTCTGAGGGTGTCACGTCACCTTGTTAACACACTGCCTGACGCATTTGTTGGTGCTTCGGATTTTTTTGGCAGCTATGTGAGCAAAGCGATGCAGGAATCATATGGAGCCGGAAGAGATGATGAATGCCACCGTGTCCAACTGTCTGACACTGTCATAATAAATCACAAATATAAATTTCATATGCATCACACAGCTGTCTCAATGCTGTCTCTTTCGCCTTCTTAAATCATCCCTTCTGCTTAAATCATTTGATTTTTTTCCCCCTGGAATTATGGGATTTGTAGTTTTAACCGTATATCGTCATATATTGAGCAACACACTGCTGATCAGTTCGTGTTATTACCAATATGACAAAGTATATATGAGTTTGTAACAGTTAATGTCACAGATGGCTGCACTGCTCTGTCTGACAGATCATCTACATGGGCTGGGTGGAGGAGAAGGAGCAGGACTGCGTTCAGGACCGCATGTACGCCCCCAAGTTCCTGGCTCTACGCGGCTCCTCCCTCTTCAAGTTCTCCGCACCGCCTGTAAGTTTTCTGTCCCGTCTCGGAAGCTCCAGGGATCTCCATCTCAGGCGTAGAGAGACTCTTGTATGTGCTTTAGTCGTACAGAAACCGTTCATCTTTTCAACCAGCCTTCTGCATTTGTGATTAGGTGAAAGCCCATCTGTCTCCTGATGGATTATCCAGGTCGGGGGGGGGGGGACCTGGATCCTATCCCACACAGCACAGGACGCAAGGCGGGAGAATGCACTGGACAGGGTACCAGCCCATCACAGGGCACATACACACAGTGAGCACTTTCGAGATGCCAGTTAGCTTAACTGCACACCTATAGATGACGTGGAAACCATTGTATTACGTTTATTTAGCCGACGTCCAAAGTAGCACATAAAGGTGGGTTAGATAGCACTGTCAGCCAGTGTCCGTTGACAAATTGGCTCTAGAGCCCAATATCACTTGACCGGCCGTGGGATTTGAACCAATGACCTCACGCACAGAGGTACAGACTCTTAACAAACAGAGCCACACAGCACATATAGGAAGCCATTGTGACATGGGGGAGAACATGTGGATTCCACCCTTAAAGAGCAGCTGCAGGGTTTGAAACCTCCAACCTAGAAGAGTGAGAGAACAGAGTCGCTCACTAGGCCACCAAGTTACTGTCAAAATAAACTTCACGCAAGAAAAAATGGTTTTGTTTGTAATCAACTGACAAAAGATATAATGCATTGAAATGCATAAAAATTCTAATAATATTTGGTGTGTATTCCTCTTACAGCATACATGACAATATTCGGGGCAGCGTGTGGCTCTGTAATCACAAGGTTGCTGGTTCAAACCCAGCCTTAGCACATCAACGGGTCTTTGAGCAAGGCCCTTAACCCCCAGCTCCCTGGGCGCCCCGACAGGTGGCTGCCCTTCACAGACAGCTTACTCTACAAAGAGCAAGTTGAGGGAGGCATAAAAACAATTTCCCCACAGGGATCAATAAAGCATCTATAAAAAAATATATATATATATGATTTAGACATGAATTATTGTTAAAATATTCTTGTGCGTGTTGAGTTCACGAGTTCACCACAGACCGTGACATAATCGAGTCATGATAACAGCTGGGATGAGAAGACTGAATACACACACTGTAGCTGCTGTTAACAGGCAATACTGAATGCTTAGACTGACTATCCTCAAGCAGTGCATATCTCAATTACTGTTGGATGGAGTCCAGCCCATATTGGGCCATCACCCAATCAACGCCTGGGAAAACTCCTCAAATATACTGATTGGTCAGTGAAATATACATATGGGCCACTGAGACTGAGAAACCCTGCTGTAGGAGTAATCTGGCCTTACGTTTACAAGGCTGTCCAAGCTCGCATGTGTCATTTTGCCTTTTGAAGAGTATTTCTCTGGTTTGGGTAGAAATGAAGGAACAGGTGAATGAACATTGTGTCCAGGCCACACAAGAATGTGGCCTTTTTATCAAAATATGCAATAAAAAAAATCCCATATATGTAATACTTTATTTACCATATATACAGTAAAGGTTGTCTTGGTGACAGCATGAACAAACTTCTAAGTAGAGGTGATTTGCGATAGCATGCAGACGTCATATAATTCCATTCGATTATTTTCTGATTTTCACAGTAATGCCCTTATGAATGGAAGTAAAATTCGAACCTGAAAACTTTTGTTAGTGAATTTCATGAACAAGTACACTGATTACTGCCTAGCATAATTAATCTTCACTCAACGTCACTCAAACGCAGGCTGACGATGAATTTGCACAAAATGTACTCTTTAGTATTACATAGTATTAAACCCCGTTTCTCTATCTTTTCTTTCTTTCTTATTTTTTTTTTAAACTCTTAAAATCTTTGATTGACCCTCTATGCAGGACTGACTTATGGATTACGTTGCCGGAAAAATTAATGCTGATATAAGACCGTATTCTTGATGTTTGCCTGGGAAAGACTAGGACCTTCCGCAGTTCTGGAGATGTGGCTGCACCCATCATGATTATAACAGATTAGAGCCTCCCTCTGATTTGCTATTGCCCTGGAGACGTGGGAAGGAAGATGTCATGCAAAAGAACTGAGAGACGGAAAGAAAGTGACAAGTTACTGTAACTGTCCCTGATGTGCTCGGTTTGCCCATCGCGAGACGGGCTTTTGATGCCTGTTTACCTGTAGTGTTCTACCTACAGCCTGCATCAGTTCTGCAGTGAGCAGTGATTGTAGCATTTATGAGTGGGGACAGATGCCATTAGATGATAACATGTTGGCTTGCTGTGGTTCTTCAGTGACATGGACCTGCAACACAGGACAGTAGGCATTACGTCATACGTGGGACAGCGCTGATAAACTGTCTGGAGATGAATCAGCTTCACACGGCACACATACTGTACAGTAGTTAGATGACAACGTCTGATACAGTGCAGAATCATTATCTAATTCTTTTCCCTCCTTTTTGGATTTAAGAAGTCTTTGAAATGCATGTTGTTTTACAGAATACAGAAGGGAAACAATATCCAGATCAGATTATATGGCAGTTTGGACATTTGAGTCTTGAGTTTGTGTTGGAAAGGCAACGGACGGACAGTCTCCCCAACTGTGAAATTTTATAGGTTGGCAGCACAAAACAATAGCGTGACACGTATTTGGGAAATGCTCAGTGCTGCGAGTCTTTCTTTCACTGGAAACAACAATCTGGTAAAATCTCAGGAAAAAAATAGGCCTTAAAAAGTGAAGCAAATCAAGAAGAAAATCTAATCTTTCTTGGTAATTGATGTCTCTTCACCTCCCTCCCCTCCCCATCATTGCTATTCATTGGCCAAACCCCCCCTCATTTCCTCAATGACTCCATGACTTCAGTGCTTCTCCTTTCAACTTTTCCTTTGTACCTTGTTAGGTGATTTTCTCATTTATCCTCAATTCTGACATTTCATTCTTTTCTGCTTGGCAATTCTCTTTTTTTTCCCCCTCTGTGCTTCACTTTCTTACCATCGCAAATTAAATGCACTCTGCTTGCCTCTCTAGGGAAAGATGTCTTTGCTCCGCGGTGCTAATTGGATCTCTAAGCATCACACATATGCTGTTGCATAAACTGACGATGTCACTTCCCGTTACTGCCATTGACCACTGGCCACATTAAATATCCATTTCCTTTTACCTGTCATTCGTCTGGTTGGGCATCAAGTTATTCTCCTGCCATATTGTTTTGATTTACAGCCATACGACCATCCATCCCGCCATCCGTTCATCCATCCATTTATGCATCCCTCCATTTTTACAGCTTATTTGCCACAGGTAAACCATTCTGTCCAGTACATATCAAGGCATACACTGGCACACAATTACTAAGGGCAATTTACTGTTTTATTTTTTTTGTTTGTTTGTTTTTTTCTTTGTTTTTTGATTTGTTCTTTTGCTTTGATTATTATTATTTTCTTATGTCCTGTATAGTCCTTTTTTCCTACTAATAGTTACATATATGCAAAACAGAAACATTAATTACTCAGTTCTTAATTTATGTCCTTACTAAATAATCGCTTGGTTTATCTAAGGCCTGTGGGATGATGTTTTATATATAGAATATGGTGGTTTTGGGGGGGGGGGGTTACTGCTCCTTTATGCCCCAACAGTGCTTTACTCACTTTATAGAATTCAGTTTTACAGGCTTTTGGACTTTATGTCACTGTATTTTTCTTATAAAATCCCAGCGTGTGAATGGATTTCGTGCATTACACTGAAACATTGAGTGTGAGCTACAAAACCGTTTCTTGGCCTCGCGGGGACATTGTGGAATTCTGCTCTCGCCGGTCTCCAAAAGCTCCAAAAACATACATTGTATTTCAGACCTAACATGACAGAAGGCGAAATGACTTGTAAATTGGCACAATAATCCAGCACATCCACCGCATTACGCAAAAAGTCGGCTAGCGCTAGATGTTTGGGTGTATGGTTTTTTTTTTTTTAAATGTATGCTTTATTGATTTTATTTTTATTTTCATCAGTAAACAGCAGTGCAAACAATGAAAGAAGCAAAAGCAGAAGTGGGCTTTATGACTTTAACAGCACAATATTAAGACAGCCTTAATTCTATAGAAATGCTTGTAAAATAAGACATATATATTTTGTTTGAAGCATATTAAAAGTATTAGTATAAAGTATATTAACTATATTAATATTATATTTAATCACTTATTTCCTTTGTGATATTTTCGTATGTGTACTTATATTTTAAATATTTTCATATGCATGCAATTAAATTAACCCCCCCCCCCCCCCAAGTTTCCCCATAATACAAGATTCAATTGTAACAAGGTTGTCATGGTTACTTGTTTCAGGTAACAACATGGGACTGGACACGAGCAGAGAGGAGCTTCACGGTGTATGAAATCATGTGTAAAATATTAAAGGTAAGCACATGCTTGCCCTGTCTCTGATATTTCCTGTTGCTGTGTCTCTGGGCTGATGCAGATGCTATGAGAGGTATTGAGGGGCGATGCAAGAAGAACCTGAACCTTTTTTCCGACACAAAGTAGACTAAACTCAGCAGAAACAGGCTACCACCCAAAGGTGCCACCGAGTCTGTCTTTCTGGGAGCAAGGTTACTCTCAAAAAAGATTCTAGAAGACTGCAGGCCTGTCTTGGATCTAAAAAAAAAGAAAAAAAAAAGTGTTTCATTAACACCCAAAATCGAGAACTGGGTTAAAAGTTAGTATAGGTCTCTCTGCGGTTCTCCCGGGAGCAAAGTGAAGCAGCGTACTTCATCTTGGCTTCTAGGAGGCTGGTCCAAAAGAACCACGGTGACCCTCAGAGACCAAGTCTGCTTTTAGGGAAACTGCTTTACTCTGCAGATTTTGGTGTAACCCCGGTTCCCTCTTCAGCAGTTTGTCTTATTCCCACACATGTCTGTTTTTTGTACACATATTAAGTAGGACTCTCATATTGATAATCGTAATATTAATAATCAATGATTACATTAATAATCAAGTAATCTACTGATTAATTTTACACACAAACACACACACACAGGTTTGTAATTGTGGGGACTCTCCATTCATTTCTATGGGGAGATCTGTAATCCTTACATGGCGACCTTAACCTCTACCCAGCCCTAACCTTAACCATAAGTAACTAAACAAAATGCAAGTCTTTTGGCATTTTTAGTTTTTTGATTGAAGCCACAGATTTTTATAAAACCGAGTTTCCCCTTGTGAGGACCGAAAGAAATGGTCCCCACAACGTCAAAATAACAGGATTTTATTACATCGTGGGGACATTTGGTCCCCACAATGTAATGCACACAGGCATAGACATACATACACGTACACATTTTAGCGTTAATCACAGAAAGTAAATTAGGCCAAATAATTAAGGGCAAAGATAGGCTAGGCTACTTCAAAAGGCTAAAGGGCACATAGCTTATACAGTAAATGTCTATGGCTGACCTTGCATTGTTGGGTGAGTCCATTCAAACCTGTTTCAAGATGATGTTGCGTTTCAGTCACGCCGTTGTGATATTTAAATTCTGCTTTGCAATACTGGCCGACGACTGCATTTTCATTTGACCTTCTCATCATGTAGCTGAGAATATAATGAAATTGAGGTATAGTCTATAGCTTGAGTTGTCTGTGTGCCTTTTTGAGTCTATACTTAAAAAGTTTAATTTCCATTTCATTTATAACACAATTGGATCCTTTCATTTGGTTCCAATTAATAATAACTGAATCTAGAACACACAACTCTTAAGTGCTATTCAAAGTTCTGCTACAATGCACAATGTTACCACAAAATTTGACACAATGAAATGAAATGTTTTTCTTTCATTTTAATACATTACCATATTGTTTTCACATTACCATATTGTTTTCACTGAACCACAGTTTATTTTTGTTATCCCATCATCCATCAATCGCAAGTTTGCTACAAAAGGTCAAAAAAGTTGATTTAGCTCAGCCGAGCAATGTTTGGGACCCATACGGGATCACCACATGTTCGACTGTCTCAATCTGGTGCTATTCCTAAAGTTAAACGCTCACATTATGTGGTCTGACTCACTTCCTATCTAGCATGCATGAAGTATTCAGAGGAGGTCAGTAACTCCTCTGCTATTCAGCCATACATTTCCTCGGCTAGGGTTTTACATAATATCCGCCGGTTGCCATGGTGTGCAGCAGGAATAGTTTTCTGCATTTTTCTTGCTGTCATCACACTTTTTTCAACCGTGGACAGCAGGACGGGCGAGGAGGGACCGGCATTAACCTACACGCGACAACAGCTGTTGGACCCGGAAGCTGCGTTTCCCCATGTTTGTGCGGCACTGCCAGAGGAAGAAAACGGAAGCCCAGCTCCGGAACATGGGGAGAAGGTACAGGGCCATAGCAGCCTGTCATCATGGGAACTGTAAGCTCTCTGGCAAATGGAACGGTCGAGCTCCCAGCACTGACCGGGGGCCATGAGGAATCTGTGGCTGAGAGCTAAAACTACCATCTCTCACACTGGATGGACAGATAACGGAAGTCGTCGCAATGAAAACACTGGAATGTCGAGCTGCCTGCTCTGGGAGCGTGGCCATATTCCACGGCGTGGGAGTTTCCACGTCATAGTTTTGGCTGTGGATGTCCCGCCCTCACCAGACACTGCAGTCATTGAAGAGCAGATGCATTCTGTGGTCAGCAAACTCATCACTGATCATCGCAATGCTTCTATTGCAATCTCTTGGGACTGCAGTCATGTTTTATTCTGCTCCACATTCACTAATTCCTACCAGGTACTGGAATATACCTACTTCAAACCCATCATTCAGCAGCAACCCATCATCAGGACTGTGAGGAAGTGAACTGAGGAGATTGAGTATCTACTGCAGGATTACTCAGAGGAGACTGGGACATGGTCTGTGATTCATAAAGGGACTCATTCTCTGTGTCATGGGCTACATCCACTTCGGGGTGGATAATATAGCTCCCAGAAAGAGACTGTTTGCCCTCTAACAAACTGGATCTCAAAGGACCAGGAGGACGTACTCAAGACGAAGAAGAAGAGAATGTTTAGGTCTGCAGACCAGCAGGAGATCAAGCGAGTGCAGGAGCTGAAGAATCAACTCCATGAGGGAAAAAAAAAACATACAGGAACAAGCTGTAACAAAAGCAACACCAGAACAGCACTATGGAGGTGTGATAAGATCAGATAACACTTTACTTAACTCACAGAAGAGTTTTTTGCCCAGCAGCTAGGATATACAGATAGGAGGATAATGAAATAAAATAAATAACAACCAAAATGTGAACATGGTATAAACATGCTACAGTATATATAGAACATACAAACAATAAGATCGTATAGTGAAAATGCAGCAGCACAGTGGATCGGAATGAGGATCGTTATCCGCTACAGTCTGACTGGAGACCTCGAGGAAGAGGGGAACACAGACACAGCTAATGAGCTGAATGTCTTCTTCACATGTGACTCTCACTTGCCAGTCCCCTGACACTGCTGGCTCTGTCTCTGTGCCCCCCTCCCCTCCCAGTAACTTCACACCTCCCTCTATTTCTCCTACTAAAGACACCACAATTGACTTCTTCACTGCCGCCGTACTTCCCAGACTGTCTCTGCTGGCCAGGTGAGGACAGAGCTGGGGAATGAGCAGAGGACATTTCCAGCCAGCACTGCGGGGCTTCTGCAGTGCGTCTGCAGTGGCCAGTGCATTCATAAAAGCTGTCGTCTGCTGGTGTAGCAGCGTCGGTTTGTGTGATGCCAGACGTGTGAACAAACTCAAAAGAGAGCTGGCCCTGGATCAACTGGAGACTGGTACTGAGAAGAGGAAACTGGCCAAACTGGAGATGATGAACAATTCTAAAAAACCTGTGAATCCGTCCGTCCGTCAGTCAGTCAGTCAGTCAGTCAGTCATGCTTGTCTGTGCTCTTGTTGACTACGTGTAATTAACTTCCTGCAATTCATTAGTATTAACTGAAAATTTGGTCATACTGGTTTAGGTTGTTGGGAGCAGCATTATAAATTATAATCCATAATTCGGTAAAATTATAATAAATTTTAATACATGAGTCTCAGCTTTATGGAGAAACAGACCCAAGATATCTCAGTATGGTCTCAACAATATCACATCATACCCGCAGTTATAGTAAACTCAGTTTTTGCTTAGGTACTCTAGTTAATTCCAACCAAGATTCTGAGAATTTGTTGATGCATTTTTAAGAAAACCTTTAGATGTGAACTTTGTTTTCCTAATTTTTTAATTACATCTCTAAAAATATTTGACATATTAATGAACATCAATAATATCACTCACTATACACTATGTATTACCTAACTCCACTTGGTTATGCTATCCAGTCAGGGTCGGTGCCTATCTGGCCTGTGTACCTTTTCTACGTTTGTGCTCCTTGTGTGTTTCCCCTGCCCCCTGGGCTGCCGCACGGCTCAGTGGTTGACTGAACATGTGCTTTAGTCCTTTTAGTCACGAGTTTGAGGGCAGCCTCATCTTTTGTTTAGTTTATCGGTTTTATTTTATCCCTAGCATCTGGTATTGTTTATCTATGTCTTTGCTTTGTGTGTCTGTCTATGGTCTACCCTGCCCGTTATGTTCTGCGGTTCTTGTGTTCCGAGTCTCTCCTAGTCTAGTTAGGCCTCGGTGTTCGTTAATGTTTTCCAGTGTTCGTTAATTGTTCCCCGTTGCCTTGTGATTTGTTAATTTGCTTAGGTTTCTCACCTGCCCTGCGTCACGTCTTGTTAGTTGTGCATTGAAGCACCTGCTCTTGTTCTGTTCCTTGGCGGTTCATTGTGGCTGAATCCCTGTATGGCAGCATGTTTCTTACCCATACTCACGGTAGTTCCTCCCCGTTAGTATTGTTACTCCCAGTGTTACTCCCTGCCTTAATTTCTGTTTTGTCTGTTTTATTTTTACCTCTCACAGCCCCTTTATTTTCTGGTTTGCTCTTTCGGTTTGCTTTAATAAATAAGCCCTGGTTAGTTGGGGACACTATGTAGGTCCTCGCTCCTTTCCACATGCTCGACCTTAATATTCGGCAGGGATGTCCCAATCCACTTATTTTGGTACCCTGATCCGATCCATTCACTATTTACGTCTGCTGATTCTTAGTCCCGATTCAATCTTTTAATAAATATTTAAGTATACATGCGCATACAGTAGGTGTCGGTGCATTGAGAATAAGCCTGACCATGTCGCAGCGCTCTTCCGTACGATGTCTCTGTTAGTGTCTGATTCGATTTGGTGTAGCAATTGCGCTACTTTGAGTTTCCGGCTTAAAGAATGTCCGTGTGGGTGACGTCTCGGTAGTTTGTAGTTTGAAGCCATGTTCCTCAGGCTTACTGCAGCGTGTGATGCAACATTACGATCTGAGCAACTGACGTAAATGAGGGGGATGTGGGAAATGAAATAGATGAGGCTTTGGATGGGGCCGTGATAGCTGATCGATTAAAAAATGCCTGAGTTGGCCCTGATAGCAATCATTGATATCGGCTCAGGACATCACTGATATCCAGGACAGTTACACCACGTAAACGTGCTAGGAGCCAACGGAAAAAGCATCGGATCACGTTCCCCAGACATTCTCAGAAACAGCTAAATGGAGGACATTCGCTGTACCTTGCAGTTTTTACCGTATCAAACTTTCACCTTTTTGAAGAACTTTCAGAAAACCTTTTACTAACCTTGCGGACTTCTACAGTTGTTTGCGGTTTATATTAATGAAACAATCTTGTAATCTTTTTTGTCATTTTCTGTAAGGTGCACAGCATCTCCCTACAGTGGGAAAATGCAGGAAAATGCAGCCAAACTTACAGAAAATTAATGGTAATTTTGTGACCCAGAATCCATCCTTTACTGGCAACTGTTTACGTGCCAGGAGTAGCTGTATTTTCCGGAAGCACGGAGCACACAGACACTGTGGGTCATTTGCAGACCTAAGCACGTGTTTTGGGGCTGTGGTGGGGATCCTGAGAACATGAAGGAAATCCTCACAAATACAGGGAGGATGTTACCTTCACAGACAAAGAGGGAAGCGGCAGCTTGGGAGGCCGCGTACAGCGAGGGACACAGCGTTACCCACAGAGCCGCCATGCTGCTCGCTGTAATGTATCTACAATTTGTGCAATTGGTTTTTGTCAATCAGTCTGAGAAGTTAATAAATCTAGCCTTACAGACAAAATGACCGAGGGATGTTTATTAATTAATAAAATGGTCTGTGAAGATACAGCAGTTTTTGTCTGATAATATCTGTATAATAAAAGCACACAGAAAAAAAACATTTATACTTAAATTTAAAAGTGTATGTCACAGTGTGTGTGTCAGTACAGATCAGAATGCTGTTTCTGCATTTGTTACATATACAGTCATAAATATCTGGACAAAGTTTTTCAGTTTTTAAGTTCTGAACATTATCATAATAAACTTTAAAAGAAACAAGACAGATTCAGTGGGTAGAACAAAAACATTGCATAAAAATGTGAGGAACTAACGTCATTTTTCTACTCAATCCCCTCCTTTCCGGGGCTCATAAGTAATTGGACAAATTAATATAACTGCAAATAAAACGTTCAATTCTAATACATAGTTGAAACCCCTTTGCAGGCAATGACTGCCTGAAGTCTTGAGCTCATGGACATGACCAGACGCTGGGTTTCCTCCTTTTTAATGCTCTGCCAGGCCTTTACTGCAGCAGCTTTCAGTTGCGGTTTGTTTGAGGGTCTTTCTGTCTGTAGTTTAGTCTTTAGCAAGTGAAATGCATGCTCAGTGGGGTTGAGATCAGGTGACTGACTTGGCCAATCGAAAATATTCCACTTCTTTGCTTTAATAATGTCCTGGGTTGCTTTTGCTGTGTGTTTTGGGTCATTGTCCATCTGTATTATGAAACGCCGCCCAATCAATTTGGCTGGATTTGAGCAGACATGATGTCTCTGAACACCTCAGCATTCACTCGGCTGCTTCCATCCTGTGTCACATCATCAAGAAACACTAAAGACCCAGTGCCACTGGCAGCCACTGGCAGCCACTGGCAGCCATGCACGCCCAAGTCATCACACTGCCTCCAACATGTTTTACAGATGATGCAGTGATCTTTAGATCATAAGCTGTTCCAGCCCTTCTCCATACTTTTTTCTTTCCATCATTCTGATTCAAGTTGATCTTGGTTTCATCTGTAGAAAGAATTGTGCTGGATTTTTTAGATGTTTTTTTGCAAAGTCCAATCTAGCCTTTCTATTCTTAAGGTGTATGAGTGGCTTGCATCTTGCAGTGAACCCTCTGTAATTGCTTTCATGCAGTCTTCTCTTTATGGTAGACTTGGATATTGATACGCCTACCTTCTGGAGAGTGTTGTTCACTTGGTTGGCTGTTACGAAGGGGTTTCTCTTCTCCATCGAAATGATCCTGCGATCATCCACCACTGTTGTCGTCCGTGGATGTCCAGGCCTTTTTGCGTTGCAATGCTTTCTTTCTTTCTCAGGATGTACCAAACTGTGGATTTTGCCACTCCTATTGTTGTGGCAATTTCTCGAATTGTTTTTTCCTGTTTTCACAGCCTAAGGATGACCTGTTTCACCTGCATACTGAGGTCCTTTGACCGCATGTTGTATGTTCACACCTCAATCTTCCAAATGCAAACAAGACACCTCAAATCAACTCCAGGCCTTTTATCTGCTTAACTGATAATGAAAGAATGAAGGGATTGCCCACACCTGTCCATGAAACAGCTTTTAAGTGAATTGTCCGATTTCTTTTGGCCCCTTTAAAAGAGGGTGGAACATGTTAATGAGCTGAAACTCCTAAACCAGGGGTCTCCAACTCCGGTCCTGGAGAGCTACTATCCAGTGGGTTTTCTGTCCCACTTGGCTTCTGATGAGCCAAACCTGCTCCTGGTATTTACCTGAGAACAGGTGTGGCTCATCAGAAGCCGGGTATGATAGAAAACCTACTGGATAGTAGCTCTCCAGGACCGGAGTTGGAGACCCCTGCCCTAAACCATTCATCCAATTTGAATGTGGACACCCTAAAATGAAATCTGAGAGTCTGTACTTTATGTCCAAGCCCATTGCATAACTTCAATTGGAATATATTTCAGTAAACAGGTAAAATAGTAAAACTTGTGTCAGTGTCCAAATATATATGGACCTAACTGTAAATTAGGCTTTTAAAGTGGCTGCCCCAGGAATTAGTGAGTTTATTTTTTTATTATGTGCACATGTCATAATTCTCTTTTCACTGAAGTATGTTCACGTTTATCTTCAAGTCTCAGGGCACAGATTTAGTAAAATATCCTCATTGGAAAATTACAACGATCTTTATTCACAAATGTTAGAAAAAGAGGAGATTTGGGAATTTGTTTTAACAGAGTGCTTTCGAAATGAATGTCCTTTATAGGGTAATATCATTTTGGGGGCAAAAGGAAACATTTGCTATAAAATGATTTTTCCTTATAATGGCATTCAGTTAACCTGGACAGGTTAATTGTTTCATTAAAAAAGTGGCAGATTGTATGTCATTTACAATCGTATGCAAGGTGATAAATTCTACATCTACATGGTCTTCTTGGTGCATTGTAGAAAACATCATTGGCATTTTTCATTTTCCTTTATTTATTTCATTTACAGATCTTCACATTATTTCAGACTGCGAACATTACTGACATGTCAACATGGTGAGACACAGACTGTAAATAATTTAAAAATCAGATCCAGACTTGTAAATGACTTTTTTAATGACTATTCAAATCCAGTGTGTTGTTGGCTGAACGGACTTATGCAGGAATCCTGACACTGGTAAAAACATGAATACTGTAACAATATATTAGTGCTGACATCTGGAAGATTAAGACAGTGATGCTGAAATATTGACTTACTTGACTAAAATCTTCTAATTGGAAAGTCATTTTCTAAAAATGAATTATGTATAATTTCCCATCTACAGAATTATTATTTATTACTCAGTGGATTAAACACAGCAGAGATAACAGGCCGTCAAAGGGGTGCAGCTAAGCATCTTGTGCATCTTGTGTGGTGTGACATGAAAGGGGCGTGTAACTGCGGGCTTTTTGCAGGACAGCGACCTTCTGGACCAACGGAAGCACTGCTTCAGTCTGCAGACGGAGTGCGGGGAGGACCTGTTCTTCAGCGTGGAGCTGGACTCTGAGCTGCTGGTGTGGGAGAAGGCCTTTCAGATGTCTACCTTCTTAGAGGTCGAGAGGATGCAGGTGCAGCCCATACACAATCTCCCAGAGCACATGTGCTTCCCAGCCTACTGAGGCTCAGAAGAACCACTGAGACATTGCACAGGTCCAGCAACGACGTCTGAGTCTAAGAATGTGTTAGGTTATGATGCCGGCTGACTTTCCAAGGCACAAGCTTCTCTATGTCTGGTGGTTATGTCTGCTAGCCAGAGCAGCTATTCCACAATGGGAGAAATTGATTTTTGAGTAATTTGTCATATTTCTGTTGTGTGTGTTTTTTTTAAGCCTGCGTCCCCTTATTGCCCATCTCATCTATAGCCCTGCTTGATATTCATTTCCCCAGAATCTGTCAACCTACGCTCTTTATTCTTCCTAGTACATGCAATTCTAACTATATAGAAAAAGATTTATTTTATTTTTTTTCGGCAGTAACCAAACCCGTCCGTACATGGTCCGGGGGTCTTTCACTAATAACAACCATCATTATGCCTCCTCTTATATACACAATAGGGTAGTGAAATGACTGCAGTATTCATGGGCAGATTAGCTTAGGCTCACTCCCACGTAGCTGACAATCAGCGCCGCTTCTCTAATGTCACCTATTGTTTTGTCCTCCCTCCCAGTGCAAAACGTACGCCTGCATTATGGAAAGTCATCTCATGGGACTCACAATAGACTTCGGCATGGGGTTTGTCTGTTTTGATGCAGCATCTAAGGTATGTTCATGCAGCTGATGGCTTCACACTAACACATTAATATTACTGACAGTTTAAAAATTAAAGCACTTGAGGAATTTGACTGTGACAACTGGTTGGTTGAAAAAAAATCTTGGTCTCTATTTTGACTTTCTGGACCAGAACTATCAATCTACATATACTATAATTATGAACATTCATATCGTCATCAGTTTCAATATCATGAGCAACGTGATATAGCCTGTACACTTGTTTTATTGCATAATTAACAGTTAAATGCACTGTTTTTAAACAAATTCAACCAAGGTATGAATCTCTTCCTGGCATAATTAATCATGACACCTGTCATCTTCTATATAACTAATTTTACTGTTTTCTACTTATGAATTGTAGAATATTGTGATAAATATTGTTGATTCAGTGGTACCTGCGGTTCACGAACACAATCCGTCCAGGAAAGTGGTTGAAGAAAGCATTGAAAATCGATTAATTTGTTCACAAGCCTACCAAATAATAATTTCTGTTAATTAATTTTCTGGTTTTTATAATGAAAAACTTTAAAGAAAAACACAATATAGTGTATCGACGAGCGAACCAAGGCATCGCAGGAGCAGAGAGAGACATGGGGACTCGCTTGCCGGGGAAATCACGCTCTTTATTAACAGTCCTTAACCCTTTTATTGTTGTTGTTGTTAATGTTAATGTTGGAGTTTCCCTTTTATCACGCGTGTGTTTGTGTGTTTGTCCATGTCTTGTGTGTACCCGGTCCGATCCTCGTGTATATTTAGCGTGTGCAAATCTCCCACCGTGTGTGCATCTTGCAGTTCGGCGTCTGACAACCTTGTGTTTCCCGTCTGTGTATTTGGGTTCGGTGTTCGTTGGTTGGCTGTTGTGGCCCTTCTATTTACAATTGCACGCCGGGCATGCTGGGATATGCTGGGACATGTGGTGCATGCTGGGACAGGTGCCCCGCCGGTGCTACACTAGTATAAAAAAAGGAATCTGGTCGAGGAATCTGTTTGTCAACCAAATTTTGTATGTGAACCAAAGCAATATTTTTGGCCGTGAACCAAATAGTTCGTAGACCACAGCATTCGTGAACCGCAGGCATCACTGTATCATTTTTAGGGCATATTGCCCACCCATAAGTAATACAATGTATCCATGCACCTTTGCTACAATTTTATGGATACAGTTAGATGCACTCCTATAGGCCAAGCATGTGCTTTTCATTGGCTGATATCCAATGAGGATGCTGTGTGTCTCTGGTCCATTGCCTAATGCCAGAAGGTCCTATTAGTGTATTTGCTTTCCAGCTGCTGGTGACAAAGGAAGGCTAACAATCATTGGGGAGGTTAGAGGTCAGGGGTCATGGGTCCTTGCCTCCCACTAATCTCTAGTCTGTTTTCCAAAAGATTAGCTAAGGGGCCTGTAAATCCCTAGATACGTATCAGTGAATGTCACACATGATGTAATCCACCCGATAATACTATTAATGACTTGTTTTTATCCAGATAAAAATGATTTCCTGGCTGAAATTTTCTGTAAGGAAATTAATTCTCATGCTGCACCATGTCAGGGCTGCATAAACTTAATCAGACCTTTAACTTTAAGTGTTAAGGAAGGGGAGGGGCCCCGCAGGATATTCCTTCTGAGATAATTGCAGCCGTTCTGGGAATATTTGTCCTCTTCAATCGCTAGATTTGCAATCATTTTTGGTTCAGGATATTACAGATTCCTATTATAGAGATGATCCAACCACTTTCAAACACTTAAATTAAGCTTAATTATATTCTTTCTGTAAAAACCAATCGATGTGTTTTAAGGTGTACTAAGGTACTAAACATTGTTAGGGAGCAAAAGAAAAGAGTAAAAGAATAATTATGCATTCACCTCAGATACAAGAAGGAATTCACGTGAAGCTTTAGCTTTAGCGATTTGCGATAAGATCATGTATCAATATCCCATTACCAAAAATAAAAAAAAAACGAGAACTTTTAAAATGTCAGAGCTTTTCATAATCCACTTAAAGCTTTCAATTCTGATTGATTTCTGAAAGATAAAGGTGACTTATTGAATTTATGATTAAATACTGCTAGTTGAGCAGGATTAATTCATTGCCATAAAGGTCCAGTTTTAAGATTTAGGTATTTTCTTGCTTCCAATCAGCATCCTAGGAAATGTGAATGGTCCTAATTAACTTTTTTATTTGGTTTCTGTAGCAAGATATAACTGGACAATAAGATTTAAATTACATTAAATGTTACATTTGTAAATGTTTAGCATTGTGTTTTTATTTAAAGATTCAGTGACACTATTGTATGTTCTGTGTGATTGTATTGAATGATTGAGGTCTGATTGATGTGATTGATCTTTAAATAGAGTGGCAGCAAAATTAAATGTTTCTGTAAACTAATTGGAATGCAAATAATGAGTTGCTCATATAAAATGAAATATAGCGTTATAACATTGCCCCGTTGAATTCTCAAACCTGATTGGTCAGAAGGCTGTTGATTAATTTTCTATAACTGCACATATGGTGCCAGCCAGACCAGTCACACTTATGCACTCTTATACTTTAATACTACTTAAAATTATTGACGTAGGAGACAATTTAAATTTAACAAAAAGTTTAAAGACAAAGAAATTGCAAAGAACAAACGTATAATGGACATTTTTCAAATTTCTTTGAACATTAATGGAGTAAAACACACCTGTGCATAATGGGCAAAAGACAATTTACAGTCCCAGAGGAATCCAGCTTAAAAAGAGAGCGAACGCAGTATCGACTGTCACTGCAAGACACAAAACTGTGAGTGAGTCTGACACAACAAAAATAAACACAAACAAACAAGTAAATATGCAGGGCTGTTATTGGGGGGGTATGTTTTATGTCTTCCTGGGCCAAAGGGGACCACCCCCCCCCCAATCAGAATAATGTAACAAGGGGACCCAAAGCGGCATTATGTCAGGAAGCCGAGAAACTTAGCAATTAACAATTTCTGGCTTGGATTGTATCTAAGCAACACATTTAATCATTAGCGGAGGTGAATTTCTCAAGTAATATATGCATGTTAGGCTGATAAACCTGGTAATAATATCTTTAAGTATAAACATATAAGTTAAACGGTTAGCATGTCGGCGTGAGGATCGGCAGACTGACCCTCTGAGCCTCTCATCAGAATGTCGTCCATTCAATCCAGACTCGCCAGAATTGTCAAATAGGTGGCTGACCCTTCACTGTGACCCCCCAGGGTTTGCTCTCACCTACATGTGTGTCTCGTGGAAAAAAAGATGGGGTGAAAGAAAACAGAGAATTTCCCTGCATTATTAATAATGCATCAGTATTCGATTCTATTCTATTCTATTCTGTTCTGTTCTGTGCTATTCTAGTAACTTTTACTGAAGAACATTCTACAGTTTTTTGAGTTACAAGCCCCTCAAAAATACACTTCTTAAAACATACGGTAACAAACAGTATAAATAAGCATATTCACTCACTGAAGTCTGGCAATATGAATCAAGGTGAGTTTGCTGCTGCTTCATAGTTATATCATTTTAACCATTTCCGGCCATACCAAAGTCATAGACACTGCTCAAAAAATCAAAGGAACACTTTTTAATCAGAGTATAGCATCAAGTCAGTTAAACTTCTTGGATATTCATCTGATCAGTTAAGTAGCAGAGGGGGTTGTTAATCGGTTTCAGCTGCCTTGGTGTTAATGAAATTAACAAAAGGTGCATTAGAGGGGCAACAATGAGACGGCCCCCAAAACAGGAATGGTTTAACAGGTGGGGGCCACTGACATTTTTCCCTCCTCATCTTTTCTGACTGTTTTTTCACTAGTTTTGCATTTGGCTACGATCAGAGTCACTACTGGTAGCATGAGGTGATACCTGGACACTAGAGAGGTTGCACAGGTAGTCCAACTCCTCCAGGATAGTGCATATTGATGTGTCATTGCCAGAAGGTTTGCTGTGTCTCCCAGCACAGTCTCCAGGGCACGGAGGAGATTCCAGGATACAGGAAGTTACTCTAGGAGAGCTTGACAGGGTCGTAGAAGGTCCTTAACCCATCAGCAGGATGGGTATCTGCTTCTTTTTGAAAGGAGGAACAGGAGGAACACTGCCAGAGCCCTACAAAATGACCTCCAGCAGGCCACTGGTGTGCATGTCTCTGACCAAACAATCAGAAACAGACTTCATGAGGGTGGCTTGAGTACCCGACGTCCTCTAGTGAACCCTGTGCTCACTGCCCGGCACTGTGGACCTCGATTGGCATTTGCCGTAGAATACCAGGATTGGCAGATCTGCCACTGGCACCCTGTGCCTTTCGCAGATGAGAGCAGGTTCACACTGAGAACATGTGACAGATGTGAAAGGGTCTGTAGAAGCTGCAGAGAACATTATGCTGCATGTAACATTGTTCAGCATGACCGGTTTGGTGGTGGGTCAGTGATGGTCTGGGGTGGCATATTCATAGAGGGACACACAGACCTCTACAGGCTAGACAGCAGCACCTTGACTGCCATTAGGTATCGGGATGAAATCCATTGACCCATTGTCAGATGCTACGCTGGTGCAGTGGGTCCTGGGTTCCTCCTGGTGCACGACAATGCCCAGCCTCATGTGGCGAGAGTATGCAGGCAGTTCCTGTAGGATGAAGGAATGGATACCATTGGCTGGCCCCTGCATTTGTCTGACCTAAATCCAGTTTAACACCTCAGGGACATTATGTTTTGGTCCATCCAACACCACCAGGTTGTACCTCAGACTGTCCAGGAGCTCAGTGATGCCCTGGTCCAGATCTGTGAGGAGATCCCCCAGGACACCATCCATCGTCTGATTAGGTGCAGCCCCAACTACTTAATACGATTTTGAGTTGCTGCAATGAAATTTCAGCCCTCTGTAGGTTGATCATTTTCATCCCCATCAAGCGATGTGGCCTCCTTTCATTCCTGACACATCACCCAGTCCATATCAGTATAGATATCCAGCATGATTTTTTTCCCATTGAGGTCTAATGTGTTTTCAAAGTGTTCCTGTAATTTTTTTGAGCAGTGTCTGAACATCTCTCTCAGCCCAATCAAATCACAAAACATTTTGCTGTGCAAGCATTTGGGTCATGTTTATTAGAAACACATAAAAGGCCTTCATGAAAGCATATCCAGGCAATATACATTCTATAACAATGCCCATTGCTTAAGGCGACCTATGAACACAACTCCTGCTGAGTATGAATGGTCTGGTTTAGAATATGCTAAATTTCTAATAATTTGATATGTAGTGTAACATTTTTTCTTTTGCTCACTACAGTCATTAAGTTTCTGCACAAAGGCCTGTTACACTAGGTTTTGGGAAAGGCAAATGCGAGAGATTTCATCACATTAATGTTTAAAAACTTGTAAATATTTTGTGCTGCATGTCCCTGTGTGTGCAACAAGCAGTGCACATACACTCATTACACAAGCACATGTTACACCTTTCAAATAGCAGTGAAATTCTGCATTGTTGGCTTTAGGCCAGGTTTCTGTTGGCCAACAGTGCAATTGCTGTCATGTGCCGACAATGCACATGACCCTGGGTGCAAGTATATTTGCTATTTAAACGACGTGGGTGCAGGATGGGAAAACGTGCTACTGTAGCTGTAAATAGGGCCCGTAGAGGTTACGGAAACACTAACACAAGAAGGCAACATACACTCTGTCATTTCATTTATGTAATGTGCGTTCTTTAGCATTGCATATGTGTTTTTTGCTATGAACTACTTAAAATAGTATTCCCATATGGGGACCAGGAAACTGGTCCACAAGGTAAAAAAAACAGGTATTTTCATCAATTTGTGGGGACATTTGGTCCCCACAAGGTAAGGTATACCTGGACACGCACACACACACACACACACATTATATATATATATATATACTATTTTATAAAAGTCCGAGACTGCAATGAAAAAACTAAAAAATGCAAAAACTCTTGCATTTCGTTTGGTTACTTATGATTATGGTTACGGCTGGGTAGGGATTAGCATAGTTAGCAGTAGCATTTTTTCCATACAAATGAATGAGCGATCCCCAAAAAGATATGATTACGCAACTGTGTGTGTGTGTGTGTATGTGTGTAGTAAGTAAGTAGTAACCCACAAACCCCCTGACTAAATCCTATAAAGCTGGCTTGAAATGAGTCTTATCGAGGAGCCAACTTGGGCCCAGACCTTATGGATCTGTACACACTTCAGGGACCCCCGTTACATCCTTGCTAAACCCTCCTCTGTAATCACTGCCACCTTTGGGACCTACAGAAGCCAGGGGACACCCACATACATTCATGCACCAAGGGCAATTTAAAGTCAACTGAACATTTAGTTTGTCAGTACGATCAGGAAAAAAGACATGGTAATATGCAAATTTCAGCTATAAAGCAATCAGCCACCATGACTGAGTCACTCCCCTTTAATCAGGCTTCCCCTGAAGAGAACATCTCATCCAGCACTGAATCTATCTCCCTTTCAAAAGATCTTTGAGGTTTATGTTTTCAAAATTGAACTTCGAAGTCAGTTGATAAATTATACTCGCTGATTTTTAATTTATTTATTTATTTACTTTTAACTTTCATGCTCACCGTTTCACGAAATTCATTAAAACTTTATTTCAGCAAAATGGGCCTATTTGACACTTTTCAGTATTTTATTTTATTTAAGAAAGGCAGTGGTACTTGTGATAACATGCACACCTTCTGCTACCATACAGGCTGTCCTCTGGAGATACAAGTTCTCCCAGCTCAAAGGGTCATCCGATGATGGGAAGAGCAAGATCAAGTTTCTGTTTCAAAACCAAGACACTAAACTCATTGAAGCTAAGGTGAGTCAAAAGATGTCTAATACTGTATATGTGAAGCTGCGCCTCTCAATAACTATACTGATCTCTCGCAAAACTGTAGCATATAATAATGAGATATGATAGAGCTTAGAGGAAATCCAATGGAAATCATTGATAATAAAGAGGACACAGTGGGGTTGATTGAACAGTTTATGGTAATTCTGTTACATTTATTTATAAAAACCAATCGTGATACAAGGCTTGACAAAAAATGAATAAAACAAACAGCAAACCCTATAAATCTCATCTGATGTTTTTCATTCATATGGGAAATGCAGGAAGCCATGGAAGAGGCTTCTGCTTTTCACTGACCTTGCCATTAGTGTTACATTTTAGTTCTGCATCAATGCATAACTATTAAATTATTGCAATATATGCATCTTCTTATAACTTGTATCCATCCATCTTCCAAGCACTTACTCAGTACAATGTGATGTTGTTGGTCTAGAGTTTATCCCAGACAGGACAGGGCACAAAATAAAGGTACAATTCCCTTTTGAAAAGTGTAATAGCATTATATATAAGATATAATGATACGCATCATCTGGCAAAAATACCTGAATGTCTATCGTAAAGCATGAGAGAGCTGAGGTGTTGGCAGTGACAGGCTGTAGCTCCACTGCATTCGAATAGCTCCACTGCATTCGAATAGCTCCACTGCATTCGAGTAACGGCTCTTGCCTTCCCACAGGAGCTGGAGTTCTCCAACCTCTTTGCAGTGCTGCACTGCATCCACTCCTTCTTTGCTGCCAAAGTGGCCTGCCTGGACCCCTTGTTTGTGGGTAGCCAAGGTGCAGCCACTGCATCAGTGACTCCGGCCCCCACGGTTGCCCCCGTCTCTTGTACTGCTACATCTGGGAAGATCAAATACACCACTTGACAATCCCTGGGAAGGAACCTCCCCCACCCCCCCATCGCTTCATCACTAAGGCAAGTGCAGGGACAGAGTATCTAATCCTGGATTCCGCTGCTCTCGCGGCCCCAAGACCTCCACATCCTCTGCTCTATATTCGGGTTCTATGGGAATGGAAGATGTTACCGTGTGCTAATATTTTTTTTCCCCCATTTTTCTTTCAGTCCACCACAAACGATATAAACCCCGTTGTAAATTAGTCGTACCTCATTTGATGCCGTTGTCATTAATGTAAATACTGGGTCAAAATGTGGGGTCGCCGCAGACATATTAATGCCGTTCTATTTTTACAAACCAATCGGCTCCACGGGAATTCCGCATGCAAATGAACTGGCGTCACATCATTCTAACTGTACGTCACATCATTCTAAAATACCTTAGTATCTCTGCAGACATTTGCACATGCCTGACCTTGATCGTTGTCTGACTGAGTTGAATTTTGTTTCTAATTTACTTTCCTTTTACTTACATTTTGATACCTTTCATTTATGCTCCAAAAGAAATAATGAAATCGAAAGACTACATTTTGAAACTCTTAAGCAACCCAGCTAGTTTCAAAGTAGTCTGTTCCATCTTTCAGTGCATTAAATAGCTTCCCCTTCAAGTGATTTTAAGGTGCTGCTTGGATAATGGCACTGATCATCCCAACATGAAGATCGGAACTTAGAGGTGACAATCCAGATGAGTTTGTTGCAGTTATGTAGCTCAGGGGGTGTGGTTCGGTTTTTTTTTTCTTTACCAAGATCATGAGACACAAGTTAAACACATAAATCAGCTGTCAAATAAGGTGAAGCAGTCAGGCTTTTTTCACTACTGTATATCATTTGTCTGCAACAAACGTGTACTTAAGGCAATGAGCTAACACTTAAACACAAATAGCCCCACAGCATACAAAACCATGGAGATTCATCCATTCTAGTTTTTATGAAGAAGCCAGGACAAACAAAACCAGAAAGCAGTAATAGCAGAAGTCATCTGAAAATATGTTTCATGCAGTAGATGCATTGTTGCTTCAATTATAAATACATTTCATTTGCAATTCCCCATTGTAATTACAATTACACACTCAAAATGACTGAAATGAATTACCACTGTTTATTTTTTTAATCAACCGCAATCATTTTCTAAGTAAACTTGTTTCTTAATAACAGAATAGAAGCTTGTGTTTAGCTGTGATCAGTTTGTCTTGGATTTCTGCTGAATCCTGTCGTGTGTGTTTTACATGCGGATATAAACAGAGAAATCATGGCGTTTACATTGGTCCGTGTATGTAATGAACCGTTCAATCCCTGCTTTTTTAGCATTTGTGTGCAATTGAGTCTGTTAGGTTTCAGTGTTTTAAATACCATAAAGTCATGCTTGTCTCGCACAATCTATTTTGGTGAAATTTCAGTTATCTGGGTTGTTTAACGATGCTTTGACAAAACACTGTAACCGGATGAATCTTGTATTATAGGTAACCACTGAACAAATGTGATCAAAAGGAATATCGCAAATTACGAATTAGCATTAATTCTACGGCCATACTGATGAACAACTGTCCTTTCCATTGACGCACAAAGTCCATAACGTCAATTTCTTTTCAACCTATGTACCAAGTGTTAGTCATCAATAATGAGTTTTACTGATTTTTTTTTCTTTCTCATAACCAATTTATGGTGTTGTTGTGTGGCTCGTCACAGACATAGCGATGTTTACGTAGTAATAACTGTAGTTATTACTATGTAATAGTGAAGTTTACATAGTAATAACTGAAGAACAGAGCGTACATCTGTAAAGTAGAGACGTGTTTCGCTTGTCTGAGGCTTTCCAGTCAACTGCAGATACCTCATTCACAGCACACCGCCATGCCTACACAGACGCGGCCCCATAATTCTGTCATTTCAGTAGCTAAATAAGTGATATATTCACTTCCAGTCCCTATTTATTATGCTATTGTATAGTATAAATATATAGAATTGTGGCTTTCTATCATTGTAAATGAATAAGTACTATTTGATTCTTACTACCCATTAACTTAGTGCGGACCAAGTTAAATGACCTAAATTTTTAAAAGAAGTATGTATAGTATTACAGATATCAAAATTTAAGATGCCTTTTTTATACATTTGTCCTGTACAGATCAGAATATATTTAAACTGACACAAGTATGCTGTCACACTATCGAGGATTAAGCATGTTTATATATAGGGTGACAAAAATTTATGCATTGCAAGGAATTGCAGACTTTGTATATTGCACCATGGCTCAAAGTTGTTTTCCTCTTCACAACTGAAAGCTTTCCATTAAGGCCTTGTGTTGATTTCTTTTCTCCCCCTTTGTATGTTATTTTTCTAGTTCCCACAAATTAATTTCTGTTTCTTGCAATGAAAAAATCGTCTGTTGTTACTGACATCCAACGATGTGTTTTGACGAAAAGAAAGCAGATCGTTTATACAAATTAGAACCCCAAGACAGTTTTGGCAGAGCTCAAACTTGGTCCAGACGCTGATCTTTTGTTGTTCTGAAATTGTGCTCCTTTGCTGCCTCCCAGTTGTAGTCAAAGGGTCAAAAATTACATAATAAGAGGAGTGTTACAGCAGAACAGGCTCATTCCTCTGTACTGCTAACTAGTACATTTCAGATTTCAAATGGCACATTAAACACTATGCAAAAGGACACACAGACGCAGTGAGGCTGCACTTAGCTAGATATGGAGGCTCCTAGCAACTAATTTTAGAACATTTCACCCTGATATATAAAAAGAATTGAAAAGTTGGGTTTTATTTTTTTGCCAAATGATAACTGTTTATGATTAAGATACTAGAATACTTAATAAAATATTTTATAAACTGTGCATGGATGTTTTTATTTATTCGAGAAGGTATGCTTTCAGTTGTGATGCTACAGTCGCTATTTTCCACAAAAGAAAACAAAAATCAATTCCACACATGAAAATGCTGAAACAGTAGACTATTAAATAAAATGTTTAGACTCTGTCTTGAGAGAGATTTCTACACTATCACACTAATCTTCACCTATAATCTTCTGGTTCTGGTGTCAGCTGCATTAGCTTCCAGAGAGAACAGATCAGAGATACCGTGAAGATCAGACCAAGGTGACAGCGGGTATCACCTGGAATGTGCAATGTGGGATATAGAGACAGTGCAGTCTACCTAACCCAGCCTCTTTAGTTTCTTATACGCCATTGAAAATGAACATTATATACAGTAAAGGCACGCAAGACAACTCTTAAATGCCTATACAAAAGCTTCGTTAAATGTCTAACTTCCATAAATCTAAATAACCTGCATTCTTCTGGCAAATGCAATTTCTTTTTTGTGTTGTATAGGTCAGTGGCTGAGGGTTCTGTGTCTGGAAGGTTGTGGGTTCAGATCCCAAGGTTGGCAGAGTAATCATCTTACCACTGGGCCCTTGAGCGAGGCACTTGACCCCAGCTACTCCAGGGATGCTGGCTGACTGTATTTTCTGACCCCACTCCGTCTTCACGTCATTTTGGATATCAGTGTGTGCTACGCTGGCTAATTATATAGCGGTGCCTTATTAACGGAATAATATACATATAGTAATATTTTCAAAAGTTCCGTAACTAGAATCAGATTCCATGCTTTCCGAAGGTTTCAGTTACTATTTTTCTTCCACATTTAAGAAGCAAACAAATTCTACTTTAAAAAGTATGCAGCAGTAACTGCTCTGACTACCCAATGAATCACTGCTTCACAACCAAACTACCTATTGTGGTAAATGGTAGCTGAAATCTTTTTGAGAAATTTCCTTTTTGAGCAAGATAAAATGCCATACAGGATTAACATTATACACATAATCATTTGGCAGAGTGGGAGTATAGACCCACGCTCAATTTGCTGTTGAAATATTTGTAATATTGTGCTGTTGTGTAGAATATTCATAGCATAATACCATTATCAAAAATGTTTTTCATTATACAGAAATATGTACAGGTGGGGGGAAAAAAACTGGCGGACCAATTGATTTGAAAAGTCGAGCAGTTTAATTTTTTTTTTTTGGGAAATTGTTGTTTCAAAAAAGCATTCAAAGAGGCTGAAAGAAATATAAATGCATTGCAGCCTGAAAGCACATTTCCATTCAGAAGGTGATAAAAGGCAGTGCGGCTCTTTGGTCTCAGTCTGCGCTCCCCATTTCACATTACATTTGCAGCCATAGATCACATTCCTGAGGGTGAGACTCATCTTCAGTTCACCCTTCATCCTTTTCGACTGGACATCCCCTTCATGTGGTGTATACTGGCTTGATCACTGCCCGACCACATCTCCAGAAGCCTTTTCTTGATTATAAGTACCATTTTACTCCAAAACTACATATTCCGTGTCTCATTTTGGTGTAAGGCTTTATATTTCTCTGTACCCTACCGGTCAGGATAGCCAGGCAGCACAACCAGGAGACCCGGAGCCCTAGGTGAGTCTGGGAGAAGGACGTCCTGGTGTGAGACATGCTTAGCCCTTGTCGCCTGGAGAGCCAGATGTTGTACATCTCCCCCAAGCATAGTGTCAGGCTTGTTTTCCCTGCCCTTTCCCTTTTGGTTTTGGTTGCATTTCCCATCTCATCCCGTATTTTCTTCAAATAGTCATCTGTCAACTGATAACTGGAAAAGAAGATGAAAAATGGGACATTTCTCAAAAGTCCACACATCAATACATGGAAGGAGCTCCATCTGCTGCGATTGTGACTGTAAGACTTTTAGAGGAGAAATCAGCTGTGCAAAAATGTTGGGAGAGATTATTGCCCGTTGTTCCTGACAGAGCTTCTACACGTGATTCAGGTTAGTCTGTTGGTATGCACTGTGATTCAGGTTAGTCTGTTGGCATGCACTGTGATTCAGGTTAGTCTGTTGGTATGCACTGTGATTCAGGTTAGTCTGTTGGCATGCACTGTGATTCAGGTTAGTCTGTTGGTATGCACT